CCCGGGGGGGACAGGGGAAAAGCCCCCGAGGGGAAAAAAAAAAAAAAAAAAATTCCTAAAATACGTGTTGAAAAACAGCTTTTCCCTGGAATTACACTCGTCCCACGAGCCAACTGCAACGGGAAGAGGCCAAAGCAGCGGCGGAGCGGCCCGGATTCCCAGGCAGCGGAGACGGCTTCGACGTGCGACCGCGCAGAACCGTTCCCAGCACCAGCCCCGGCGATTTCTAACCACCCCGGCTCCGTTTATCGACGCCAAACACCCAGCGCAGAGTCTGAAACTGGGTGCCCGGACACAATAATTCTGTGGCGAGAAGCTCCCTTTCCTGGAATTTTGGGGCAAAAATCTGCTTTTCCCTGGGTTTTGGGACCGGAACCTCCCTTTTTTGGTATTTTGAGCACAGAATCTCCCTTCTCCTGAATTCTGTAGGCCAGAATTCCCCTTCTCCCATATTTTGGGGCCAGAATCTGGCTTCCCCGGAATTCTAGGGCCAGAAGCTCCCTTCTCCCAAATTCTGTGGGCCAGAATTTCCCTTTCTTTTAATTCTGAGGCCAGAAGCTCCCTTCCTCAGAATTTTGAGGCCAGAAGCTCCCTTCCCTGGAATTCTGGGGCCAGAAACTCCCTTCCCCGGAATTTTGAGGCTAGAAGCTCCCTTTCCCGGAATTCTGGGAGCAGAATATCCCTTCCCCGGAATTCTGAGGCCAGAAGCTCCCTTTCCCAGAATTTTGGGAGCAGAATATCCCTTCTCACATATTTTGGGGCCAGAAGCTCCCTTCTCCTGAATTCTGTGGGCCAGAATTTCCCTTCCCTGGAATTCTGGGGCCAGAATCTCCCTTCCTCGGAATTCTGAGGCCAGAAGGTCCCTTTCCTTGGAACTCTGAGGCCAGCAGCTCTCTTCCTCAGAATTCTGGGGCCAGAATCTCTTTCCCAGAATTCTGGGGCCAGAAGCTCCCTTCCCTGGAATTTTGAGGCCAGAAGCTCCCTTCCTTGGAATTTTGGGGCCAGAATCTCCCAGAATTTCGGGAGCAGAAGCTCCCTTCCCCTGAATTCTGGGGTCAGAAACTCCATTCCCTGGAATCCTGGGGCCAGAAGCTCCTTTCTCCGGAATTCTGGCACCAGAAGCTCCCTTCCCCTGAATTTTGGGGCCAGAAGCTCCATTCCCAGGAACTGGGGGACTGTTTCTAACCGTGAGGAAGGCAACATCCACCTGTCCAGGAAACATGGCCGTACGGAGCCAAACCCCGGCTTCCCGCTCTCCGGCAGCCCCACGAGGCCGGCAGAACCACCTCCGTCCCCCCCAGATCCATCCCAAATCCTTCCGCCGCCGCTAAAAGACGCGGAGGAAGCAGAGGGGCAGAGGAAGGGGTTGGGAAAGCAGAGCGGCGGCGTGGAGACGTGTGTGTTTTACCCTGAAGCTCCCCTTCCTGCCATCGGGGAGGAGACCCTCTCTCTGCCGTACCTTCCGCGCGCGGCTGTTGGTGACGGGGAACTCGCCCAGGCTGTCGTCGTCGATGCGGGGGTCCGGGAGGGCACGCTTCTCCAATGGGTCGGTCCTCAGCAGGGCCTCCAGGCTGCTGCCATCCTGAGAGATCAGCCCTTCCTTCTTCAGGGTCTGATCGGTGTCTGCAAGGCAGGGGAGAAAGGGAAGAGAAAAATCAGGGCGGGAGGTCGGCACGCGCCGAGATCCCGCCTTCGCCAGCCATGTTCACAAGCTTCCCTGCCGCAGCGGCGGCGGGGGGGGGGGGTTAACCGCCCC